TCCCCCCCCCCCCCCCCTCTCTCTCTCTCTCTCTCTCTCTCTCTCTCTCTCTGTCTCTCCTTCTCTCCCTCTCTCCCTCCCTCTCTCCCTATCTCCATGGCTAATGCCTTTTCTATGAGCTGGAAAAAAGTCACCACACACCCCCAGGTTTACGCAAACCAAGGCCCTGTCTCGCAGATCCAAGCCAGTCCTGAAGGTGCATTCAGACTGGCTGGGGGCTGGGGACAGCCAAGCCCATCCCTTGGCTCAGCCGTGAAGTCATGAGGACGTGACTCAGGAGCCAGCCTCTCCTGGGAAAGATGGTCCCTGGACTGACAGCAGGATAACCTCATGGAACTGGGCTGTGAGAGCAAGCTGGCAGACAGAAATAGCTGCTGCTTCTTGAAACAGGCGTCACTGTCTCCACGTTATAAGAAAATGGAGAGCTCTGCTGGCCACAGTGCTTGGGTGCCCAGGCTGACAGCAGAGGTTCTGGGGCCTGGAAAGCAGTGGAAGAGAAAGGCACAAACACCCACAGCCCTGGCTCAGCAGACCAGCGTGCCCTATGCTGTCTGTTAGACGGTGCCTGGGGAGTGGGGCGGGGCTGTGGTCTGCCCCGCTGTGCACATGGACGCCGTCCAGCAGGTAGGCCTGCACAGTCCCGAGCTGTGGCTCTTCTCTGCAGCCTCTTGGCTACAGACTCCTCCAGTGCCGCAGAAGCCACCAGGAGTGGTAAGGATCTCTGGCTGCCACAAGTAACAAAGAGATATTCTAGGCATTCAGCTCACCCCAAGAGAAAGCAAAGTCAGTCGGAGCTCGGCAGGCTCACAACGGTGGCTAACGTCCTGCTGAAAGGGGCATTTCAGCGCCTGGGTCCCCTCAGGAGGAGCAGAGAACGGGGCTGACCTGGAGACTGGCTCCAGCCCTCTTGGGCTTCCAGGGCTTGGGCCACATCTCCAGCACAGGTGTCCCCTGAAGCTGAGAATCATTTCTGGATTTAGCTCTTCCCACAGTTTGAATTCCCGTGTTCAGGGACAATAGTCACGTAGCAGATGCCAGCCTGGACTCCCCGGATGCTGCCTTGGAACGCTTTGTCATTGCTGATATTTGTTGGCCTGAGGCATAGCTTTATTAACACCCGGACTCCTACACATGCCCACGTGGGGCGTGGTGAGCCAGACTAAACCACAAACATGCAGCCCCCAGCTCCAGCTTGGCCTCGGTGATGGGTTGGCCCTTGGCTCCTTTTTCCTGGGACCTACTCTAAGAACACCCCGGTCTCTCTAAGACCGGCAGGAAAGCTGTGATGTTTCCAGGGATACCCTGCAGTTGGCAGTCTGGCTAAAGGCATGCTTGGAAAGCACAGGTGCTGAAGCTCCGTTGCCTATCAGAACCCTCGCACCCAGCCTCCTTCTTGCCTTTCTAAAGTTGTCCTCTCTGAGAGTCCTGCTGTCACATCTGGTGACCGTGGAGGAGCCGCTGACCCATGCAGACATCTCCAACACAGCCCCGAGTCTCCTGGCCAGGGACTGCCTGAGCACAAGCAGCACCCAGCCGGGCGCCTCCTCACGTACTTCTCCCTGAGCACCGGAGGCCACTGGGCAGGTGACACGCACAGCTGCAGGAGAGGGATGTCCCCTCCGTGAACCATGACCTGGGCTAGGAATACTTTATGGTATAAGTCATTGAGATTTCAGGATTTGTCTGCTGTGACAGTTGGTATTAATCACCGGACTCATTGAATATGAAAAATGTGTTAAAAAAGTCAAATGCTTGAAAATTCACAAAATAGGCCTTTGTGCTTTTTTTTAGAAAGTATTATGCTCCAAAAGAGCTCAGCACATAATCCCCAGTACCTCTGTGATTTTTTTCTCAGATGTCTTACTACATATTTCCAGAAGTGTGCATTTTTTTTATATTCATCTTTTCTTTCTCAACTGAACACAGAATCGCTTGACTTACAATAAGATCTCCCACTTTTGACGTTATTAATATACCTCCAGCATAGGTCTTAAGTGTACTAACTTAAGGGGCTTACACTTCTTAATTGGAGTCTCAGAACATTTACTGTTTCATTTCTCATTTATTTTTATAAAATGATAAAAAAACTTTTAAGTTAAGAAAATATTCATAAAATTGCCCAAAAGTACCTACACGGCTAAAACTAAACATGATGACTGACAGACTGGGCCATGGGGTGATGGCTTCCAGTTTTAGATTTGTGAAATCTCAGCTCAGCTCGGGAACAGGGGCTGAGAATTTAGCGGTGACCCCCGGGGGAGCAGGTGGCCCTTACAGGAGCGACGGCCCCCTGTGTTCCAAGAGGACCTCCCTGCTCCCACCTTCCCTGACTCGGTGTGGCCCCCATGGCAGGGAGCACAGTCGTGTGAAAGAGTGAGTCAGATCACATCAGTTCCTGGTCCTTCACCCTTCACTGGCTTTCCCCTTTGGAATCAATGCGACACTCAGCTCCCCACTAAATCCATGAGTCCCAGGGTCACCCGCTTCACCACACCCTGACCAAAGCTCTCCCTTTTACTCCCAGATGATTTTGAGATTTCTTAAGCGCATCCCTTTTATTCCCACTTCTGGGCCTCGTGGTTCTCCATGCATCCTGAACCATCTCCAGGCTCCTGAACCAGATCATCTGTAACATTCAGGTCTTTTCTCAAGAACCACACCTGCAGAAGCACAGGTTTTAAATCACCCAAACAATACAAATCTCCCCCAATAAAAAACAGCTGTGAAAGACATTTCTGAGGCAATGGAGGACAATTTTCATTCTGTTACACACTAAATAATGTTTCTATGTACCATTAAGAATCATAATAGCATTGTGGTTACACAAGTCAAGATCTTGATCTTGGGAAATATTTGCTAGAATTTAAGGACAAAATTTCATGATGTCTGCAACTTACTCTAAATGGTTCAACAAAGAAAACCCACACATGTGTAAATGAATGTGTACACAGGGACTACACAGACAGAAGAGAGAAAGAAAATATGGCACAATGTTAATAATGGGTGAATTTAGATGGTAAGAAAATGGGTGTTCGTCATATGCTATTATTTTAGCTTTCTATGGTTTTGAAATTCCCTGAAAGAAAAAGAAAAGCTTAAGAATTCTCCATCGCCTCCCTTGCTACCCTTTTTTCTTGCTTTATTATCTACCAAGTACCTAAAATTCTCTCAGATTACATTTTCATTTCAATGACTATTGGATCTTCTTCCCCTGGAAGTTCCAGGGAAAGGAGTTTTTGCAGGTCTAGCAAACTCCTTTATCCCATGTACCGAGGCCCCAGCAGCACTCAGAAGTAGTTGGTCCATGAATGAACACACCCTTGGCCCGCAGCACCTTTGCCCTGTGAACACACCTCCTCTGGATGAGTTGGGTAAAGATGACCTAAACTCCAACTCCCTGCCAACCACAGGGCCCCCGGCAGCCAATAAACCAGCACATCTGACCCAAGTGTCCATACTCAGTGCAGAACCAGATGGCCTCCCCTGTCATCCCTGGGGGCTTTGGAGAGGTCCACGTACAACAAAGATGACCGGAGAGCATTTCTCACTTGACAGAAGCACTAGGTAAATATGGTCCTATTGTACCCTCAGATCACTCCTGCTAGACAGGTGATGTTCTTATTAACAGAAGAGGGGACCACACCTGGGAAGGACACACATAGCTTTGTCCAAAGCTCAGTGACAGGTGCAGATAGCCCATAGGGTAGGGGTTTGGGGTGCTGGTTTTTGGCTAAGCTTTCAGGTCCTTTAAGGCAAGTGCTTTGGCTTTCTTGATCCACCAGCTTGCCCTCTGCACTTCCGGTCCTATAAAGACAGTCAACCCCTCAGAGTGGGTGGCCTCAGCATCCTGACGTTACCACCTGATGACACCTAACACTTTGTAAGCTACAGAGAAATAGAACCTGACTTCCATCCATACTCAGGTGAATTGCAAAAAAACCTGAAAAGAAATTTCAAGCACAGCAAGGAATTGCATTGTTCACCCCAGAGGTTCACCAGTGCAGCCCACCACAATCCTGAAACTTCTTTGAAGGCTCTATTTTAACTTTAAATTCATACAAACATTTCCATCTCCATAATATGTGCGTACTCATTTAAAATAAGTATTTTATCTGAAAACCCTCCACCAGTAGGAGAAAAAGGAAGGTCTCTTCAGTCACTGAAGATAATAATTGCCCCTAAACAGGAGTTCCCAGGTGGCTTTGTGGTTTTACGGCAGCTACACCTCAGAAGCTGGGGATTCTGGGCCGGGGGTAGCTCAGTGGGTGTTTGCTTGCTGTCATGCAGGAGGCCCCAGGTTTAGTCCACAATCCACAGAGAAGAAGTAGGGCATTCCTTTGTGCTCCCTTTTCTTAATTATAATTAAAATGTCTCTAGGACTATCCTTATATCTCCCTGGAAGGACCCCTGGGTGCTGGGATTCCTGTGGACAGCCTGGGGGTGCTGACTAACCCCCTCCACGTGGTCCTCAAGCCTGGCTATGGTTTCCCACAGCAACTTAGTTTCTTACTGACTTCCCTTATAGAAGTGAAAATGTATTCCCGCAAGAACAGACAATGTAGCCCCAACATGTAAGTCTGAAACAACTTTATCTGCAAGGAAGCTTTTTTTAAAAAATCATATTTAAAATGAATGTGTTATCATTTTTTTTATACAGCTATCCAAACTGAGTCACTGGGAGAAAAAAAAATAGTGTGCTAACACTTAAAACACAGTGCTAGGATCTGCATTTCCTTACACTATAGGTTCCTGGAAAGGAATTTTGTCTATCATGTTCTGTGGACTTCATTCTAGGTCTATGACTGGTTTTAAAGAGCTAAAAAATGCAGTGTAATACTAAACATCTTTAAATGTGCTAATTAAGGTTGATCTCTTGGGGAATCCATGCATAGGGCCATTGAAGTGTTTGATTAATATTCTCTGTACTTTCTTTAGTGTGAAAACAGGATTCCTTGCCCAATGTACATCTCTGTACTCTAATTTTTTTCCTCTGGGACTTGATTTCCACAACCATTGTCCATTTCTAGTTTTCTGATCTCACAGTCCAAAAACTAATAGTCAGGTGAGTGTGAAATGTAATAATTTCTGAGAATCTTTCCTACACTATTACGTTAGACAGGACAGGTTTTAATCCCATCAGGGATATGCCTAGCAATACCTTGTGAAGAACTCAACCTGAGAGAACAGGGTCAGTGTGCAGTGAAGAGAATCCATTAAAGAAATTTTGGTCATTGCTGGTCTCAGCTACCAAACAACAGCACTCCTATAGTAAGTAAAGTGAGCTTTTCTCAAGAAATAACATGCAAAAAAGTGGTCAGAATTTAGATAAATCAAGAAGAGTTGGTGCATATTTCACAGGGGGACCACAGGCTTCAGAGGGAGGACAATAGGGAAGTGAGAACCCTGTCCTCATTCTCCACTATGGCCCATTGTGCAAACAAATGCCAAGGGCAAGACAGCCATCATCGTGTCCACCTGGGTACTGGAGCCAAAGACCTCCAAGGACACTCCTATGCTTGGACACTTACAGTATATTGCCCCTTACAGTAAGAACATCACGGAGAACTTTGAGAAGTGTCAGTAAGTGATATTCCAGTGGGCTCATTTCTAGGACTTGGCTTTATGGTGAGAAGCTTGGGGAAGGCTGGATGAAGGGAGAGGCTTTGCCCTAGACTGAGTGCTGTCAGGAAGGAGGCAGAAGCAACTTCGTCACCAGTCATAGCTTTAGCCTCATCTCAGTGCTCCCTCATTCTAGACTAATGAGACTGCCTAATCCTGGAATTATCTCTACTTCCCCCTCTTCAAGTTAAAATGGCCTTGTCTGTGACTTGGATGATACTCATGTTTCTGTGAGTGTTCCAACCAGACTGCAGAGAGGTCTGCTGGGTGTTTTGATCTACCCTGAGGGTCTGTGAAAGCCTGTGTTTCCATAGGAGAATCTCAAGGCCTCATTGATGGTACCAGGCCAGGTCCTGGACAACAGAAGTTTCTCTGCTCTTGCTTACAGATTAGGGTGGGTGGTATGTTACCCAGAAGTTACCACATCTGATTTCAGCAGGATGTGCATCGTTATGTCACCTCTCTGGGCCCAGCTCATGTGAGACTGCCCTTGAAAAGAAAAGCTACTTTTGAAACATTGAAGTTCCAAGTGCTTTGCCTTGGCCTGCCTCGTAACCGCAGATGATACACACGGAAGCATACATGCTCTCCCACGTCACCATGGACCACCAGGCATTGTGCAACCTGGGCACCTGAGGGGCATGAGTCGCTCTCAGAGTGTCTGGCAGGGCAAGGCAAGGATGGCATCCCAGCATCTGATGGGAAATGTGGATACCCCACCGGGATGGAAAGCTCCTGAGGGCAGGGGAAATGCTGCCTGCAGACACCCAGGTACCCACAGAGGCTTTCCAGAAAGCTGAGGTCTTGAACTATGCAGCAGGAGGGGAGCCGGGACTGTCTCGGTCTCCTATTCGTGCACCTCTGTTGATTTTCATGCTCTGCTGAGGTCTGGGCAGACTTCACTTACATGTACAAATCTCTTATACATAAATCAGCTAATTTCATATGCACTTAATTAAAATGAACTTCTTCTGGAGTTTGGCAATAGTGAGCCATGAACTTTTAACGGCTTTGTACATCGTTCCCAACCTGTAAGTGTGGATAATCATACTTACTTATTTATAAAGTTCTTTGAGGTTTTTGGATGAAAGGCTCTTTTAAAGTACAAAGCATTAATTTTTTGTGACAGAGTAATATATGAGAAATGAACATGAAGGGATATAAAAATCTTTGTGTTCTTCCTTGCTTTAGGTTTTCATCTGCTTTCTTTACAGAGTCACAGAAGCCAGTCTCCAGGAAGAGATCTGGGGTTGGAGAGAATGGAACTAACAAAGGTGCTGTACGTATAAAATCCCAGGTAGGCTTGAGCCAGCCTCTCCTTTTGAAGATGTGAGAGATAAATTGATAGATGGCGTATTTTGTACAAACGAACTCATTTCAGTCAGTCGCACTGGTAGCGTTGAGCATATGTAAATGGAGCTCTATTTTTAGACTCCTTCTATCCATTTTTTGACCAAGACGAGCAAGCCAAGCTATAGCAATAGTCAATCGTTACAAGTAACCAGACCACAGGAGAAACATGCCAGTTGCTAGGTGATGACTTTCAATCTATCATTTTAGGCAGTAAATATAAGATGAAGTTATGAGGAGAGAAGCTATTCATACCTACAACTCCATCTAAAAATGGCTATTATTTATTGCAAGGGGCTGAAATCAGATGAAGTTGCAAAGCCCAGCTTATCAACCCAGAAGCCGAGATGCCACGCCACACAGACGTATTTCAAGGACAAATCCAAAGGCACATAGGAGCCTAAACGGTTTGGGGTGAGTGGAAACAATGACTGAAAAAACAAGACTTAACCCTGTCACTTAGGAGTGTGTTTAAATTACAAACATGAAAAGGAAAAAGATATATTTGATTCAAAATCCAGAAGTTTCTTTTTTCCCAAAGGGAAGAAAATTCTAGCAACTCGTCTCCCCTGAAAAGCAGGTGGCAGCCGTGTATCTGACACATACACAGATGCTGCGCGAAACCCTTGGTTCTGCCGTGAGAGCGCAGAAATATAGGTAAGGTCGAGGGGACAACCGGACAACACACAATGATTCAAACTCATCGCCTGAAACCAGTGGCTGCATTGAAACACGGCCTCAGTGCTAGTTGCTTAGTATTGCGTGCTCTGTAAGATGAACGTGTTGCTCGTCCCGTAAGGTAAGAATTCATTTGATTTGGTGAGAATTCAGAAATCTGAATCCCAGCTGGGAATCACGAAGCCCGAGCAGGAGCCTTCCCTCCGAGCCTGCTTCCTTGGCTGAGCCAGACAGTGAGGAGGGCGGCCCTCAGGCTTCCGTCTGGTCCGCGCTGGCATCCTCTGGGGATCTTCCCACACCCGGTCACCGGGCCTCCCGCGGTGTCCCCACCGGGAGGCCTGCGCCAGGGAGTGCAGATTTCTGACGAGGCGAGGCCCGATTTGGTGCCAGTGCTGTGGAGCACGTTTTGAGGTCCACTTCTCTAAACGATTAGGATTGAAAGAGGATTAACCGTGAGAGAAGAAGTCAGTGACAGGTTCGCTTTTACTCTCACACTGCAAACCTTCTGTTAGAGGATTGTACCCGTGTGTTCGCGGTGCTGCGCACACGCCCGGTGACGGTGTGGTTCGTGGTAAGCAACGTCTGTGTTGATCTTTGCCAGGGGAAGCTTCCGTGCTGATATCTGCTGTCTGCTTCCTGACAGAGCTGCTGACCCCTGGGAATGCTCGGGGCGACCGCCGTGTCCGCCGTTGGCGCCGGTGACCGACTCCCGGATGCGCGCGGTCCCCGGAGAGGCTTGGCACCCGCAGCCCCAGCTCCACTCCCCGGGAGAGAAGCGGGCCTGCAGCGCGCGTTAGTAATCCGCCGTGCCTGTGTGATTGTCTTAGTCCCTTTCTGGTCGCTGAGACGTAATACCTGGCACAGCGGGTTATTTCGGCTCCGAGGCAGGGCAGCCTGGCACAGGGGCCTGAGGGAGCAGAGCTGCTCAGGGCAGGGCGGTGGGGGAGCAGAGAGGGAGAAGAGCCCTGCCAGGCCTCCCCTCGGCGGCCCCCTCCACCCAGCAGACCCTGACACCGAGTCCGCGTGAATCCCGTAACCTGATCACCCCAGTACCGCGCCTATGTGAACCCTAACAGTGATGAGGTCTCCATACATTCCAGGAACTTCCGGGCTGATGAAGATGGGGTGCCCGAGGAAGGCGGGGAAGCTTCGCCCTCCTGCCCTACCTTGCTCTTCCGTCCGGCTGCCCTCGAGTTGTGTCCTTTTATAAGAAGTGGGTCGACATTTGTAAAGCGCTTCCGGGAGTTCTGAGGTCATTGCAGTAAGTGATCTAAGCCCAGAAAAGGATCGGGGAAGCCTCAAATTTACATCCGGGCCACAAGGCACGACTTGGAGCCTGAGGTTGGCGTCTGAAGTGGGGACGAGTTGCCCTTACTCCCGACAGACTGTTGTGATGGAGGAAACTGTAGGGAACCCAGTTTAACTCTGCTGGTGCAGACAGAAGCCTATGCGGCTCCTTCTACCTCGCGGCCTGTGTCTCGCGCTTCTTTACCTGCTAAGAGCAAAAGTAACCGTTTCCTGGAGGAAAAGCTTGAAAATGAACTAAAAACCAGAAGGAAAAACAGAGCACGCAGAGCCAGAGCAGCCCGAGGTCTTCGACAAAAGACAGCACAGCCTGACCCTCTTCAGGTTACGGGGCGCCCGTGTTGGGCCACCTGGTTTACTGGCTGGGGTGGCCCCCGACAGTGGCGTGGGTGGCTGTGTCTGTCTCCTGTTACAGCTGGGTCAGAAACGGACTGGCATGACCTTCAAAGTCCAGAGAAGGCAGAAAGATGCTTCAAAACTGCAAATTCTCTTTGAAGGCCTCACACCGACCTTGACCCCAAATTGTAGGTGCAACCTGGGGGAGTAATTGTGTCCTGACAACAACAGATACCAAGAACGAGAGAGCAGGTCCTTCCCTCCGTGGTCCCCTCTGCCTTTCCTTTCCTCCTCCCCTTCCTGCTTCCCTGAGGAAGAACCATTTGCTACCTGCACTGGCAGGGAAAAGCTTTCCCTCCAATGTTCTTGCTCCAGCTGCTGCTCTTGCTTGTTGCCTGGAGAAGACTGAAGCCCCCCCAGACCTTACTCCAGATTCTGACTGGCTCACGGGGCGCCCATTTTTCTCCAGAGCCCCCTGAGATGGTTCTCAGTGTGAGAGCCGCTGTGTGGTAACTTGTCTCCTGTTGCCTTGCCCTTGCCCACGTTATACTCACTGTAATAGAAAATATACTCACTGACCTTACAAATTACCCCCGCCTGTGTTCTTCAAATGTATGTCCCTGGTTATATCCCCCGGCTCGTTTAAATCCGTTCAATATTGAACCCCCAATACGAGGCTTCAGTCTCTAACATCCGACCAAAGTTGTGTTTTTGTTTGTTTCTCTTTTAACCACGTCTAGTATCCTCCTACATTTTTCGCCATCCTCCTCTTCCTCAAGTTTAATGCTGCATGAGATCCTGGAGACCACTTAACCTTTGACGTCCCTTCTGCCTGGAGTCTGTGATGTTGCCCATGCTGCCTTTCATACCTTACCAACCATCACTTCCTTGTCACCTTTACTCTGTTCTCATCTCCTGCAACTGTAGTTGCAGAAATTTCTGAAAGTTCCCCGCACGGACAATGAACGCAACGTGAGCGCATAGGGGTTAAGAGAAATAAGTCGGGCACACAAGTTTAAAATTGCATGTTTTCTCTTATATGAGAAACTCTGTATCGAGCTATGTTTCTAGACAGATAAACAGAGCAAAATAGAACACAGATGAATAGGGAGAGAAGTCCAAGTTAGTCCCCAAATTATCTATTCTGTTGTTTCAAAAATATTTTCTACATTTTCATTTCATTTATACTACTAGTCACTCTTAGTTCATTGAAGACAAAATTCTGTGTTTTTTCTCTGTTTCTTCCTTTAAGAGAGAGCCTTTTTTGTGCCTCTGACTTGTACCCTAATTAGGTATTTTGGCCATTCTTTTAATTCTTATGATACACAAGGGCCGGGGATTTAGCTCAGCAGTTCGGTGGCCTGCCTTGCAAGAGCAAGGTCCCGAGTTCAATCCCCGGTACCAAAAAAAAAAAAGATTATGATACACAGTGTATCAACTATTGTTGTTCTCTAATCATTTTGTTTTAATTTTCGCAGAAGTAGGAAGAGTGCTTTTTAAAATTTTCTTTATTAATATGTACTTTTATGACATTAAAATTTAAAGAAAGAAAAATAGGGAAAAAATGTTCCATGCGTTTTCATTTCCCCCTTGGCGATCCCTTCCATTTCCAGGAGATTGATTTTTCTAGGGCTTATTTGCTGTAGGCATGTTCCTTGGGATATTACCTGCTTATATCTGGATAAACTTTCAACTTGTTTACTTAATGTATTAATATAATTAATGAATTATTATCCTTGAGTTGTAAGGAGTCTTTATAGAGTCTGGCACAAGCCCCTTGCTGAACGTATGTTTTGGAACCACCGTCTCGTAGGTTATGACCCGGCTTTTCATTCTCTTCCTGCTGTCTTTGGAAGAGAAGTTCATAATAATGATAAAGTACATTTTTTTTCTCTTGTAGAACATTCTTTTGGTATCATACCTATGACATTTTTGCCTTAGGTTGGGAAGATTTTCTCAGAAGTTGTATCATTACAGATTTCACATTTAACTCTAGGATTTATTTTCAATTTTTATGTATGGCTGGTTCAAAATTCTTTTTTACTTGTGTAAATTATTTGCCAATATTTAAGAAACACTCCCCTTTATTGAAAATCAATTGACTATCTGTGTGTGGATCTCTCTTTTATTTCTAGACTTTCTATTTTGTACCATTGATCTATTTGTCTACATTGAGATCAATAAGTCCTGATTACTGTAACCTCATGATAAGTTTTGAAATCAGGTAGTGTACATTTTTTTCTTCATTTTGAAAATTATTTTGGCTACATAAGTCTATTGTGTTTCCATTCAAATTGTATGGGTTTGGAACAGCATTGTTCTGAATCTATACATCACCTTGGAGACAAGTGATATATTACAAATGTTGAGAATCGCAACCTGATTGCAAAGTTTGGTGCATTTTGTTCATCTATGAAAGATTTAATTTAGAAAAGTTGAAAATAATATAAACATTCTCTGTCCTTCGATTGATGATGCCTATCGTCACCATATCTGCCCAGCAATAGCTAAATTTCCACTATTCCCCTTCTCTGGTGGCCTTTCTCCCTTCTCTCTCTTTGAGGTAATCAGAATCCTGGGGTTTCTTTGAACTGATTCATGAATCTATGTGGGTTTATTTCCTTCATTTCACTGATGAAGAATCTGGAGCCTGGAGAAATTAAGTAATAAGCCCTGGGTCGTTCCATTGTAACCAGAGGAGCAAATATTGGAGGCTACCTGTTTCTTCCTGAAGGCCTGTCCAAGTCATTCTGTACCCTAATTTTGATTGCTATCCCTCGGTTAAAAACTTCTCATTTTAAATACTTCTCATCCTAACTGTATAGTCCTAGCAAAGGCTCTATGTCCCGGCACTTACTCTATGTAAATCCTTCAAATCTAACAAAACCACTTATTTTTCCCCTAGTATTGCACTGGATCTTTTTTTATTTTCCCCCTGCCATGTCATTGCCTATGCTTTTTCCTCTGATGGGAGTATTCTCCTCTCCCGATTTCTGTAGGTTAAAAATCATACCAATGCCCCATAGTTACTCTGATAGCACACACTGTTAGTGCATTAATTTATTCATGTCAAATACTGATCACAAAGTACAGATGACCAGTAACTATTTGAGTCCTTTCTCCTTCTGTTCGAACATTCTGTCACTTCTCAACCCTGTAGCAAACCACTTTTCAACTCTTCCCTCAACATCTTGCCATATTTTATCGCATTTGTATGCACTATTACCCTCTTCTTTGCGGTAACTTTGTCTTTTTCTTACCATGAATGTCTATCACAGTATTTTTACGCAGAATGGGTCCCTTTCAAAAATTATTAGATTGAAGTATGCACTCATAATGTGAATGTCTTAGAAAATGTAGGAATTTTTAAAGATGGTAGTATTTGTTTTTAAATTACTTTCCATCTTTTAGAAAATACAGAACACAAAGCCTTTCTTCGAGTAATACAGAGATCCCTTTCAAAACACCCATTACTGTGGCTTACGTGGAGACTTGACGTCTGGTATTTCTCCATCCAGCCTCTGAAACACAAGGGGAAACCTCCACTCTGACCTTCCATCCACAGGAAATGGCACTAAGATCTTTAAAGCAAGTGGATTGAAAGAGGTTTGGATCCAAGCAATGATATGAGACCACATTTTCACACTGATACAATCTGAGGTTATCTTATCCCACAGACATTTTGTTCTGTGTTGGCTTGGATGGTTATATGTTATTATTTATGGCTGTGTAAAGCATCCCTGGAATGAGAGGGGCTGCTATCATTGGATCTTTTCTCATGGTTGCTGAGGTGCTGAGCAGCCTTGCTTGAGCTGGAATAATGAATATAGTGGATTCGACTGCTAATTCCATGCGAGTTTGATACCTTTTTACACTCCTTGCCTTCGACTATAACAGAATAGTGACTTTGAGACTATTCACTGCATAAAACCAAAAATAAATCATGTATTAGTGCTACCTATTATGAAAGAAAGGTATGCTTTATGATACATAAAAAAATCGATGCTGAGGAGAAATGCTTGGATTTATTTCTGATATTGTGACACTTAATTTCACTGAGCCAGGTGGATTAACTAAAGAAAGAGAAGGGGAAAAAAATCTAAAACCGGAATAAAAATTCCAGGCTACTTCACCTTATTCGACTC